GGAATATATAGGAAAAATCTTTAAAAATCTTCTTCTCAAGAACCACTGGGCCAGGAAAGATGAAACTCATGTGGAATCATCCTCAGGTAGTGTAGATTCAAGTTTGTTCAAATCATGACCCCCGGGGCTAGGGTGGGGCCAAAATGGCCGACCCAAGTTTTACATAGGGATACATAGGGAAACCTTTTAAAATCTTCTTTTCAAGTACTTCAAAGCTATGATTAGTGATATTTATATGGAATCATCCTCAGGTAGTGTAGATTCAAGTTTGTTCAAATGATGAACGCCTGGAGGGGGTGGGGTGGAGTAAATTCAAGCCTGATGTGCTCAGGTGAGCGCTGTGGCCCCTGGGCCTCTTGTTTAAAGAAACGTTTGACAGTAAAAAAAAAAGCTTGGTACTCAAAGGTCACCCTATATTTTGAAAAAAATAGTGAAATCGACAGCGTGTACGAAAGTCTTAACATGTTTTTTAAAATATAAGTAATTGTAGTTATCCACGTTTGTTTTTTATTCAAACAGATATTGGAACATGGATCTATTGCTTAAAATCATCAAAACAAAATTTACCATAAGATGTACTTGATAAAAACGGCGTAGGTCTGACAAAAGCAAAGGTATGCAAGAGCACAAAGACAGATTTATATGCAATTTTCTTAAATATTAGTGGTATTGTTGTTCAAATTCGTATTCGGGGAGACAGTTTAATATCTGGAGGAGTCTAGAAAGCAATTTTTTTTGCAAAAAAATCGAAAGGTTTATTAGAGTAAGGACCCAGAATCAGGAATCCACTACATTGAATTTCTTCATGAAAGCGTCCAAACCCGCATGCCCTGAAGAGTGAATGGGTTTTCGGGATAAACAGAGAGTTAATGTTTTTTCACATTAACAATATTTGCCAGATCTTTGACCTTTTGACTTGTTTCTATTTCCAAACTTGAAAAAAACACCTTTCAGAAGGAAAAAACAAGTCCAGGAAATCATTGGATCTGCCTTTTTCCAGTATACTAAGGGTCATACCCAAAAATGAGTTCTAAAAACAATCAGAAATTGGATAAAAAATGTTACGGACATTTGTTTGAATTGAAAGAAATTAATAAGTAAAAATCATGAAGACTAAATCAATGAAAAGCGTCGTTTGCTTCTTTCTGAGCACCGAGGGCATTATTTATTGAACAGCCCTCGTAATGTTGGAGAAATTTCAAATATGGGCTCAAGAAGTACTTAAATACCTCAGAGATATCAGAATTGCTGCTACAGGTACTAGGTCAAACAACTGGTTTAAATATGACGAGCAATTTCGTTTAAAAATAAGCCAAACAGCCCCAGTTGTCATCAAGAATTTCGGCTTTTGTGTATTTCTAACAAACACAAAATATTGATCGTACCCCCCGCTTAGTTCTTGCTCACGTGACCCAAACCGTATATCGGCATTTTATTGTAATCGTTTTAACAAGGGAGTAAGGTGTCCTTTCTTCCCTAGGTACAAGTACAGACATACATGCAGCAACACCTTCAAGTTTCCATTTTAGGCTTTGTGCCTAAAAATGATGGTGACATGCGATTCATACATTATATCACTTACCCAGAAAACGTGTCAATTAATGATTTTAATGATTTGTCCTTGAAGCATGTTCAGTCCATTACAGCAACATAGATCGAGCAGCAGAAATGGTAGTTAAAGGGGGGAAAGGAAAGACCGACATTAAGTCAGCATTTAGGAGACTCCCAGTATCTTTAAATGATTTTAACATGCTTTTGTTCAGATTTCAGGACAAAATCTACTTTGATAAAATGTTACCTTTTTGACTCCTCAATTAGTTGTGCATTATTTGAAATATTTGTCTAATTTTTACATTGACTCACCCAAAAATACTCTCAAAATTATTCTCTACTTCGACGATTTTCTTTTCTGTTGCCCACTAAACACATCCACTTGTCACAATTTCCTCAATGTTTTTAAATCCATATTCAAATATCGGTGTACCAATTACTCATGACAAAACATTCAAAACAACTCAAGTCCTAACTTTCTTAGGAATGGAATTGGACATTGTCAATATGACTATATCCCCTCCCCCCTTTGGAAAAACTGAAAAATCAGAATACTTCTTGAAAGGAAAGAAAGTCTCACTGAGAAAAATGCAGTTGCTTAATTATTGGCTTATTAAACTTCGCGTGCAAGACTGTTGGCTTTGGCCAGGATTTCTCTCGCCGCCTTATAAATTCAACAATAGGCATTACAATGTACTAAACAGCATCACAGAATTAGGATAACAAAGAACATCAAATCTGACCTCACAGTACGGATTTTTTTTTTTACAATCTTTACAATGGGTATTTGTCACATCTTCCCGGCCTTGGATTTACAACAGCACAATGCAACTATTCACAGATAGCTCTGGTGGAACTAACGGGGGAATATGCATTTATTTTAGAGGCAAATGGATTTATGAGTGCTGGCAAAACCATTGGGCCGAACAAGGTATTATCAGGGACATGACTGGTGACCGTTCAGATCGTGCAATTGCGCTTGCAATTGGCCCCTTATGTGCTCATAATTATTTTTGCACATTTGTAGGTACCCCCAGTCACAAAAATGTGGCATTTTATCTCCAATTATGCATAGAGTAATGAAACACATGGATCGAGATCGATAACGAACAGTATTCAAAATCAAAAATTCATAAAACAATACAAAAAAGGAGCAGAACAAACACGAACCTCCAAAACATCAGAGATGGGATAAGATACCATGGAGGAATGAGCATCCCCTACCGACCGGTCACACCCACCGTGATCTCCTAGTCATGATCGGGAAATTACGGAAAAATCCGTTGTCAATACAGTGTATAGATAATGAACTAACAATAACATGTAGTATGAAAACAGTCAGCATTTGACTCATTGATAAATTGTATTTGCTGAAAAGGTCATTGTATCGACCATAGAACTTATGAAATGATGAATTCAAATGAGACCCTTTATACCCTCCGCTTGAAAAGGGGGAGGGTATATTAATCAGTATGTCCGTCCGTCCGTCTGTTACGCTCTGGCATACCCATCTCTTATCCGCAACTCCTCTCATACCATACTGAATTAAATTTGATGAAACTTTCACAGAATCTTTAATACATATTGCCATTGTGCACCTCCTATTTTATTTTTTGATTTGATATATATTTTTGGTTCCCCACAGCAAAAAAATGGACACTGCCATTGTACTCATATGGGAAGCGGGGGTATTATTTAGTAAGGTAATTGCTCACAGCATCTCTAGTTTATTCTTGTTTCATTAACTTGTTTGTCAATAATTTAACTCGTTTTAGAAATTAATCTTAAGTAGAGCATGCTCTTGCATATCGAATGTGTGTGTGTGTGTGTGAAGGTGTGTGAGAGGGTGTGTGTTTTGCGACACGGGACCTCGGTCTATACGGTTTCATCCGAAGGACCAGTTTCCATGTCTCTCAGTGGGATTCGAAACAGCGACGTTAGGATCAACTCCTTACGCCGCGACTCTAGAGCAGACGCTCTAACCACTGCGCCACGCGGGCGACTTCCTACAAATGTGTTTTTATTCTGAAGGGTTTTTCCCTGATGTTTTTAAAAATTTAAAACGTACCTTTCCTTGACAAATGAAAAGAATCATGACCATTTGTATGGTTAACAGCTAGTTTGATTGTATAAGAATCAGAATTTCATCTACTCTTCAATCTAAATGGCCCCGTAGGGATCCGGTTAGAATAGGTCCTCAGTACCCCCTTGCTTGTCGTAAAAGGCGACTAAATGGGGCGGTCCTTCGGATGAGACCGTATAAACCGAGGCCCCGTGTCACAGCAGGTGTGGCACGATAAAGATCCCTCCCTGCTCAAAGACCGTAAGTGCCGAGCATAGTCCTAAATTTGCAGCCCTTCACGGGCAATGGTGACGTCTCCATATCAGTGAAATATTCTGGAGAGGGACGTTAAACAGTATACAATCAATCAATCAATCAATGTAAATGTAAAATAAAGTTAAATTTTTAAATACCAGAGTTTGACAATTACATTTGTACATGTATAATAATGAAAGCAAGTCATATATACTGTTTTACAAACTAATTTGTATGTGGGATATTTTTAAAGATAAAAGTGTTGTATTACACTATGTTCATAATTTTTTCTTAGAAATATCCCAAAAATAATAATTATTAACATGAATTAAATAAATTTCTTTATCCATATACATAATCCTCACTTTGTGCATCAAACCAGATATACAAAATAGTTTTGCAAGTTTGATCGCTGTGTTTATATACCGTGAATATGTATGCAGCATGCAATGTTTTGCGACAAGAAAAAAAAAAAAAAAAAAAAAAAAAGAAAACCAGTTAACGCAGGATTTTAAATTGATATAAAACACTTTGGAGGTTTTTAAATGTAAAACCCCTGTTTACGATATATCTATACTTACCTGCATCAACTTTTTGCATTTTCCCCGGGCTGCCTACGATTTTGCCTGAACTTTTGAGACCACCCCTGTGGTATCATACACTATGTGTATACCCATAATGCGCTAGCACTTCCGCTTCAGTTTTGTGAGGACCTAGAGAACTAGGACCCAAATAAATAACTTAAAAGGGGTGGGTGATGCAGGTAAGTATAGATATATCGTAAACAGGGGTTTTACATTTAAAAACCTCCAGTTTACATCAATATCTATACTTACCTGCATCAACTTTTTGCAGAATTTGTAGCAGAAATAGGGCGGGACAATGATTAAGTTAATTTACTAACTATAAAAATAGTAAAAATAAAGATTGCACTCACCATTACAGGTGTACTTTATTTCTATTCTTTTCCCTTTGCCCATCTGGATGTGTCAAGGACTGAAGACTTGACAAACCGAGCTTCACCTTTAGGAACATCCCTCATGTAGAATGAAGTAAAAGTGGTTTCTGTTGCCCAATGAGCCGTCTGTAAAATTTCTTCTACTGTTGCTCCATTGAAAAGGGCCCATGAAGTTGCCAGTCGTCTTGTGTCATGTGCACGTATGCTACATAAAGGTTCACTACTGTCACTGTGTTCATAAACAAATTTGACCAGAGATACAATCCATCTTGATATGGAATTCTTTGATGCTGGTTTTTGTAGATCTGATTTGTAAGTCAAAAACAAACACTTTTCAGTACCACGAGAAGACTTTGTTCTTTCCAGATATATTTTTAATGCTCTGCATGGACACAAAAGCAAGTCTCGACTGTCTGGTGCAAAGGTGTTGAATTCTGGTATGAACATAGGTTTCCATGGCTTTCCCAATCTTTGAGTTTTGGCCAAAAACTGCATATTTGGTAAAAGTCGAATTCCGTTCCTTTCTAAACGCAAATGCGTCTCTCCCGTAGAAAGAGCATGAATTTCACTCACTCTAGAAGCTGTTGACAATGCTACTAGAAACACAGTTTTCCAAGTAAGAAACTTCATATCACAAGAATTCATTGGTTCAAAAGGATAATCACACAATTTCCATAGAACTGATGGTAGATCCCAATTTGGAAGTAATGGTCGTACATTTGGTTCAGAATTATAGATTCCTTTAATTAATTTCGATATATCAGTATTGTTACTGACAGAACTGTTATTCCAACCTTTGTGAATAGATGCTATAGCCGATCTATAACCTGTAATAGTGTTTGGCTTACAACTGCGTTCTTCATGCAAGTGGATGAAAAAGTCGGCCAAATCAGCTACAGAGGCCTCAAAAGGATCTTTCTTTCTGGTTTGAGGTGCACCATTCTCTGTAGATTCGTAGTCTAGCATCATACATTTTTCTTGTTGATTCTCTGCGAGAGTTGGAGATGAAGGACTTAGCTTTTTCAGAAAATTGATTCGCAAGTCTTCGTTGTTTGAAATTTTCCAAACGGCCAAATGTAGACTTTCTGGACTTGGATGAATGAACTGTCCCCTCTTTTGTGTTAACAAGTTTGTTATTATTGGTAGTTCCCTTGGAAAGTCTATTAATAGATTGAGTAGGTCTGGAAACCACGACTATCTTGGTGAGAACAGAGCTATGAGAAGAAGCACACACGTTTCCTGTTCTACTTTTTTCAGCACTTTTGGAATTAGTATTGGTGGCGGGAATGCATATGCAAACATTCCTATCCAGTCTACAGCTAGAGCATCGCATCCCCATGCTAGAGGATCCGGGAAGGGAGAACAAAAAACTGTTAGTTTCCGATTTTCCCTTGTCGCAAACAGATCTATGTTTGGAGTGGAGAAAATGTGAAAAATCTGCTGAACTACTCCCTGATTGAGACTCCATTCTGTCATTTTCGGAATTTGTCGTCCTCTGGACAACTGGTCGGCTATTACATTCCTTTTCCCGGGAATGTGGGCTGCATGAAGTTGTACACCCCAAAGTCGACACCAATGCAGAAGCCTCCATGTCAACATACACAGGGCTGGAGATTTTGTTCCTCCCTGGCGATTGATGTAGGACACTACTGTTGAGTTGTCTGTCCTCAATAGGATCTGTTTGTGTTTGACATTGTTTTTGAAGTGATGAAGGGCTTTTTCCACTGCACTGAGTTCCAACAGATTTATGTGTGATAGTTGTTCCTCCACTGACCATCTGCCGGACACATTGCGATCTTCTAGGTGGGCTCCCCATCCGTAAGATGAGGCATCTGTCCACAATGTTAGATCTGCCTTGAAACTCAGGATAGATGTCCCCGCAAGGACGTTTTCTTGCTTTGTCCACCAAAGTAGATGTGGAATGAGTAATTCGCTGACCTGAATCATGTGTTCCAGGTTGTCCAAATGTGGACGCCACTGGGATAATAGGCAGAATTGAATTGGGCGCAAAAGTATGTGCTGGGATAAAGGAAGCTGTAACCATGGTTGAAATTACTCCACAAAGACTGTGGAAACGGTCCAAACTTGGGTAAACCACACCACGTTGGAGGTGAAATAGAGCTCCCAGATAAGTAATCTGTTGAGTTGGTTGTAGTATTGATTTTGATTGATTTATCACCAGACCTAAATCCATCAGCAGCAACAGAGTTCTCTGAAGTTGGTGCATTAATGTCATTTGATCTGCATTTTTTAGCAGCCAATCGTCCAAGTACATGTAAATGAAAATCTGCTGACTTCTGAGATGCGCTCCTATAGCTGCCATTAGTTTCGTGAATACTCTTGGAGCTGTTGCAACACCGAACGGCATTGACCTGAATTGATAATGGTTGTTGTCTATGCAAAATCTGAGGTATTTTTTGTCCTCTGGATAAATCGGAACATGTAGATATGCATCCTTTAGGTCTATTGATGCAACCCAATCTCCTACATTCAAAGCTTGTATGATTGACTTCAGAGATTCCATCTTGAAATGCTGATTGTGGAGAAAAACATTTAAGGGTTTCAAATTGAGAATTGGACGGTACCCTCCGTCTCGTTTTGGAACTACAAAAAAGGTGCTGTAAAACCCGTGACCTTCCTGGGCCTTTGGAACAGTCTCTATGGCATGTTTTTC